TCCACTTTAGAGGATGAGCCTAGAAGAACTGAGGCATTCTCCTCCAGCTAAATAATAAACTTTTCAGAGACTCAATTTCCTTCCCTGTGAAACCTAGGTAATGATAACTAATAAACTCTCATAAAGTTCCAGGAAGAAGTGCTTATCGCAATGCCTGGCAAATAGCAGGTAGGTGTGCAGTGAGTTTATCATTTGTAAAAGCTCAAACAGTGTTTGTCTTATCTGCTGACTCATAGAAGGTGCTCAGTATTTATCAATTGAATAAATGGATGAATGAATCTTCACACCAACCAACAGAGCTAACTAGCTAAATAGAGCTTTTATTTTGTGCCTCTTGAAGCTAACCAATCAGAATCTTATTCCTGACTTAAACCTTGCCCTTCCTTATCCATGACTCTGTAGTATCTGCCTACCTCACCTGTGATTTGATTGACTTCAACTGCCTAAATCCTGCTTGAGCCACTAAGGTGGCACTTCAGTCTCCAGCCTGTTCTCATCAGTTTAAGTTCTGTAATTCTCCATCTTAACAAGAACACACACACAATCGCAAACCACATCTAAACTTGGTTGTGTGCTAAACCCTTCAAAAAAGTAATTGAAATTTATTTTAAACAGAACTTTGATAAGAATAACAATAAATAGCACATTAACCTTTAAATCTTTTATTTCATTTTTACTATAGTGGGAATAGTTCCACAGTGGTGACCCCTCAACACATTCATGAAAAAAAAAGAATTTTCAAAATTTAGATTTTTTTTTTTAATTCACTGTTTCTTTTTCTTTTCTTTTTTATAGTGACAGAGTTTCACTTTATCACCCAGTAGAGTGCTGTGGTGTTGTAGCTGGGACTACATGTACCCGCCACAATGCCTGGCTATTTTTTTGTTGCAGTTCGGCAGGGGCCTGGTTTGAACCCGCCACCTTAGGTATAGGGGCCTGGCCCCCTACCCACTGAGCCACAGGTACCATCTGTTTTTTGGGGTATTTTAAAGACAGAGTCTCACTCTGTCACACTGGGTAGAGTGCTATGATGTCATAGCTCACAACAACCTCAAACTCTTGGGCTCAAGTGATCCCCTTACCTCAGCCTCCCAAGAGGCTGGGATTATAGGTGTCCACCACAGTGCCCAGCTAGTTATTCTATTTTTAGTAGAGATGGGTTCTCACTTTTGCTCAAGTTGGTCTCAAACTCCTGAGCTCAAGCAATCCTCTTGCCTCAGCCTCCTAAAGTGCTGGAATTATACGCGGGAGCCACCGTGGTTAGCAAATTCACTGTTTTACATAAAGGTCTTGAGGAGTTAAGTTTGATGTACCAACCTTCAAACTCACTGAAATGTTGTTAGTCTTTTTTTTTGTATTTTATTTTTTGTCAGGATATTACAGTCTACTGGGAATCTCTCAATTTTGTCTTATAATTATTACCCAAAATTAAAAAAGAATACTATAGGTCAGAAATTTTGATAGAATTCTTTGTGTGTGTATTAGACAATTAGGAGAAAAAGAAAATGTCAGTACTCTGACCTTAATTTTTTTTATTATATATATTGAGATGCTTCATGATCATTCAGAATGTTTAAAAATACCACCTCATGAAATTGACTTTTGAGGAAAACAATTTTGAAGAAACAATTTAATGGCAGAGTTTGGAAGCAACAAGTTTTTTCCAATAGAGAAGTAAAGACTTAGAGCATGTGTAGTAAAGAATTTGGGGGTGCCCAAAGACAACACTTAGCCTTTGTCCTTTGTCTTAACAGGACTGTCTGTTTGCCTGGGGTCCTTAAGTCAAACTGCTTAATCTGACAGTGTGATTTAGAGTGAGTGCAGTGAGGGCTGGCCAACCAAAAACACCAATAACGTGACTTAGGGAGGGAGCTTTGAGTTCCACAGTATTAGTGATTCTGCAGACTGAGATTAGACAAGTGTGCAGTCATGCCTATGTATATGATGAAGTACCCTCCAAAACTCCTGAACCACACTCAGGTGAACATCCTTGAAAAGCAGTAGTACTACATGCATATTGTCACCCACAGCTCAGACTACCTTGGCTAGAAGACAACTGAGACTCTACATTTGAAATCCTCTGGGATTCTGCTCAATGTTGTGTCTTTTTTTGGCTGATCTCAATCTGTATTCTTTCTCTTTAATAAAACACAACTGTGAGTATAACAGGTCTCAGTGAGTTCTGTGAGTCTCACTAGCAAATTATCGATCTCAGTTGATTTTGAGAACTCTTTAAACTTATAGTTAGTGTCAGAAATGAGGGTGAAGACTGTGCTTCTAACTTTTCTATTGGCCAAACTTCTCAAGTTTCTAGTTTTGTTTGAGTAAAGAAGTCACAGCAAATCAACTCTGTCATTCTAGAAGAACTCCAATGTACTTCTAAATGTACATAGGCAGGATGGGAAGTTATGCTGACTTTGGCTTATCTTGGAGGTAAGCATAACCTGTCTTTGAAGTCTGAAGATCAGTGACATCTTTAATGTATATTACTATATAATAAAAAAAACATTTCCACACTTTTATTGGGTTCTCCCATAAGAAAGGACTTTTAAAATAGAGGGTGGAAAAATCTCTCTTTCAAGTATCAATGAGCCCTACAAATTAAGGGCCAGGATGACTACATGAAATTGTTGAATGGCATACTATATGAAGCTCACAACCAGGAATACTAATTTATAATTATCTAAGTCAGAATAGTGACTACTTTGTGGTGGCTGAGGTGGGGGTGGGGACTTGGGTGCTGACTAGGAAGAACCATAAGGGAGTATGTGGATTGTTGGAATGTTCTAAATCCTGATTCGGTTGTTGGTTATATGAGGGGGTGTACAGCATTGTACACTTAAGATTTCTACACTTTAGAATGCATAAATTTTTTAAGCTTAAAAAAAACTGTAGCTAGGCACAGTGACTCACACTTGTGATGACAGTGCTTTGGGAGCCCAAGGTGGGAATTTTGCTTGAGGCTGGGAGCTT